AGCTTTTTAAAATGTTTAAAATGTAATAAAATTCTCACCATAAAGATTTTCATTTTACACAAATTCAAATCTGTTTTTTTTTGTGTTTTTTTTTTTTAAAATATTTTTTTAGAAATTTTTACCTTTTGTATTGGTGTAAACCGTTTCTGATGGATATTTATATTATGCATCAGGCCGTACAGTGTGAGACCCTGCATCGTGACCTATGAACTTCTAACCCCTGAGATTCAATTGTACAGTTTGAGCAGGAGCTGAATAACGCGACTGAAAAAAATCGCAGTGTTTACCCAACTTAATGCAGACTGTTTAAACTAAACAAGCTGCTGTTTCACATAATAACCCTGTCAGCCGCAGCATTGCCTCTGTTTTAACAGTTAAAGCAGTAGAGACGAGCTGCTTACATGTGCGTGGAACTCTAGCGTCATTAATCAGGCAACCGAAGCTGCACAAAAAACCCCACAAACTTATCTCACTACAACGTAGCGCCGAAAATATGACTCGTAGCTCGAGCTCGACACAGCTGACATCCAGCTAACCACAGCTAAAAAGATATTTAGAGGAAAAACTTACCGTTTCCTCAGGTTACACGAGTTTTTTCACGCTGAAAAGTTTGTTTGTTTTGGCTCTCACTGAAGACACCGACACTGAAGAAATAGCTGTTCTTTTGTACTGCTTTTAAGAGAAACATTCTTAGTATGTGAGGAAAATGCTGTTCATCCTCTTCAGCTCTAGCGTAGACGACTGGCTCTGCCATGTTTTCATGTATTTCTTCTTTCCATGTGTCCGCTACTGTGAAACGCTTGAGCCGCTCTGCCCGCCACAGTTTCAAACTGGTCATGTGACTGCATGGCCACATTTGATTGGTAAGAAAGTTACCGGAAACTCCACTGGTGGCATGTTATCTAATGTGTTAAACTAATTATTTTTTAAAAAGCAACGAGTCGAAATTTGCGAATGTAGCGGAGTAAAAGTACCGTTTCTTCTTCATAAATGTACAAACTGCAAAAAAGATACTTTAAAAGTAATTTTTTTTCTAAAACTTACTCAAGTAAATGTAATGGAGTAAATGTAACTCCTTACTACCCACCTCTGAGTCTCTGTGCCCTTAGGAGGCTATTCACGCTGGCATGAGCTAATAACAGGACTCAGCAAAGGTCAGAGACAGCATCCACCGCACCCACCTCAAAAATCAGTCTAGAGTGTGGAGATGAGTCTAGTGGCTCACACTGCAACACCAATCATCTATTCAAGTGACAGCAGACACACACAGTAAAGGCAAAAGACAAACTGGTCTGAGACAAGCTGCATCCAGAAATAGACGTCCCCCCACCTGAATGCCTCACTTTTCCCAATGGACCCAAGGCATGAACTGGACATTCTAACTTGGACCAACCCACTATAAAACGACAAAATGGCCAGGGGGGTACAAACCACACCTGCTTAAGGAGGGACCTAACCAGAAACCAGCTAACCCCAGCCACCAAGGTCCCACATCTTAACCTGCCCAGAAGAGGCCATCCAGCCCACCAGGGAAAAGCATCTCTCTCCAAAAGATATGGATTTTCACTAAATTCATATGTTAGACAATTTAAAAGAATAGCAATGAAGTTAGGCATTGTGTTTAGCAACTAATTTGTCATTTGCCATTTTAGTAGGAGCCCTGTACACAAATGAATCTAGTATGATTGTGTGTGCCGAACATGCCCTGTAGAGGTCACTGGCTCACTTTGTATATCTGAATATTTGTAACAGTGGCGGTCATTAGACTGCTTTGTTCTCATTGCTCCCCGTGTGTGTTGTTATTAAAATAAAAT